TAAACACTGTTAGGGACCCTAGCAAACCTCCAGAGAAAAGGCTGCTTGTTTCTCTCAGGCAGTTAGCCGTCTCTTTATTTTCATCTTAACACCTCCATTGGTTGTAATGAGCACTGCCCTAGCGGGAAATGATTCTGCAGAAAAGAAGGACCTGACTTCTATGGGACTAGCTCCAACCCAGTTTCAATGTGGAGTTACCTAGGCTCTGGTAAGAATCTAAGAGCTGTATTTTAATGGCATAAAAGTCCTGGGGGTGATGAGGGAGTGTGATCCCTTCTGGGGCTGACTGGCTATATGTTTTTAATGAGTATTCCCATCCCTTGGTTTCTAATCTGAGATGTGACAGGTACTGAAGAATGCTCTAAGCCAATGTTGCACAACCTTTTTTTTTTTTTTTTAAATAAAGTACTCCTTTAAAAAAAAAAAGTAAGTACCCCCTTTAAAAATATTATAAGTACCCCTAGTAACTACAGTTTCAGAAACACAGTTTTTTTTCTATCATTGCAACATGTTAGTTTAAACAACTTAATCATAGCTGGGTGGGTGCTGACATTTTTGGGTGTAAAAAATTTAAACAAAATTTCAGTTTTTTTCCAAATTTCAGTTGTGTTAATGTACCCCCCAGACTTCTCTCGAGTACCCCTGAGGGCACTCGTACCACTGGTTGAGAGACACTGATCTAAGTTGCACCCATCTTGGAGCTCCTTTAGCAGCTAGAGATCATTACCATGCTCTCTCCCTCTGGAAATGTACCCTGTCCCAACGCAGGATGGAAGGGAATGACATAGAGCTGCTACATTGGCTCTATGCCAGCCTGGGCTTTCCTGTATTCAAGAGGAATCCTGAGGGCTGGGAAGGTGTGCGAAGCAGCTAAGATGTAACATAGGATCACTGTCTTCAGTAGTGACCTAGGGCCCTACCTAACTTTTGTAGTAAAGTAGTGCCTATAGAGTCCCATCTCACATGGGGGCTCATTGTGCTAGCTACTGTACAGACAAATGGTATGTGACTAGTTCTGCCTTGAAGGGTTTATAGTCTAAATAGACAAGACAGAAAAAGTATGCAAGAAGGGAAGGATTATTTTCCATTCAGTCAGGGTTAGATCAGGCTGTTCCTGATGAGTAGAAAATCTTCATTTCTCAACATTTAAAAGGACATCGACATACCGGACATCACAGGTCCTGATTCTCCACTCCATTACATGGGTGTCCTGCAGGGGCATTCCTCTGAAATCAGTGGAATTGTAGCAGCATAACATCAGTGTTTAGAGGAATGAGAAGTAGATCTTATATATTTTAAGTGATTTTTTTCTAACCCGTGTTGCTAATTGCACTAAATGATTAAACCTGAAAGATTTTTTAAAATGAAATTTACTTTTTACTATTAATGTGGTTTGTTTATTTTTTACTCATAGAACTTGATCAGCGAAACTAGGTTGGTCCATTGTTTTGCTTATATCACTTCAGTTCTCTGTTTCCCTTCCCACCTTTCTGTGCTATCTGACTAAGTTATTTGGGGGCAGGCTATCTCTCACTTACGTGCACATACAGTGCCTAGCACAATGGGCTCTTGGCCTCCTTTGATACCTCTAATACTAACAATACTAATACTAACAACTTGGTTTTCCCATATAAGCAAAAAATTATCATGCTTGAACTGAAGCACCGGAGAAGATGTTTACGTTCAAATATGCTTTTAGTTACATGTCTTTAAAAACTGAATGAAAATTCAGAGTGGACCAAATGTATTCATATTGTGATGTAATACAACATTGCTTCGCTTTTTAATGTCAATTTTTGTCCATGGTTTCAGCTTTCAGAACCAGAGCTTGTCCCAGTCCTCAAACCATCATTGTAGATCCTCACTTTTCCAAAATTTGAATTGCTTAGATTTGGGGTTTTGATTCTGCTAATAAAAAAGCCAGCTATGAAGTTTGAAATGTCAAAACTTCCCTAGCGTTCAGCAATGATTGGATCCATATCTGAATTAATTAATGAATTAGCATATCTTAAAGAAAAAAGAGAAACAACTTTCACTTTAAAATAATTACAATTGGGATAAAAAAAATCTAGTCTAGGCAAACATAATTTTACTTGGAGTTACATGGAGGATTAATTTGATCCACTAGATTGTCAGCTTCTACTGATCATCAAATGCATTTAAGTTTTGAAAACTCTGTCTTCCCTTTGTAGACAAACCTACGGTTTAGGCTTAAACCATACATGACAGTATCACTTTAAGCCAAATATTTAACATTCCAAGATTTACAGTTATTTTCAGTTTACAGCAGGATGGAAACGGAATTAGTCTCCATTTATGACTCCTATCCTGGTTGCTGTAGTTTATTCTGCTGAGTTTTTTTAATACAGAATTCTGGCCATGCTCATATTTCATTGGGGTTGGGGTGTGTGTGATACTTACTACACAGAGAATCTGTCCAGTGGGTGACAGTTTGTTTTCATCCAGTTTTTACTCTTTGTTCTATGAAGACCTCAATGTTTCCAAACATCCCTGGTTTAACAAAGGAATTTAACTTAGCACTGCTGACACTCACAGTATTTGTAAGAACTATTAATCTTTGATCAATTTGAGTTTCCTTGTTACTGACTTTGATTACACAAGTGTACATGACAGCCAGCTTTAATTACTTTGAATAAGTTTTCATTTCTTCTCAGTCAATTTCATACAATACGTACAGCTTTCTCCCCCCATATCTCACCCCCGGAAGCAGGGGCTTGGCATTGTCTTCCTCGGATCTGTGTGCAGAGAAGATCCTGCTGTATGCAGATTGCTCTGTGTATAGACTATATGTCCCCATTACTGTTTGTTCCCTTCCTCTTCAGCATTGCATGGAAGGGAGGCTGAGGCTGCAAGGAGCTAGATACACCATGCATGTTGTCAGCTGCAAGGAACAGTTGGAGAATCTGTGTAGCCACATCTGGAGTATTGTGTCCAATTCTGGGTCCCCAATTACAGAAAAGATGTGGACACATTGGAGAAAGTCCAGCAGAGGGCAAAAAAACTATTAGGACGCTGGAGCACATGACTTATGAGGAGAGGCTGAGGGATTTGGGCTTGTTGAGTCTGCAGAAGAGAAGAGGGAGGAGGGATCTGATAGCAGCCTTCAACTACCTGAAGGGGGAAAGAAGATGGAGCGAGGCTGTTCTCAATAGTGACAGATGACAGAATGAGGAGCAATGGTCTCAAGTTACAGTGGGGGAGATCTAGATTGGATATTAGGAAAAACTATTTTACTAGGAGGGTGGTGAAGCACTGGAATGGGTTACCTAGGGAGGTGGTAGAATCTCCATCTCTACAGGTTTTTAAGACCTGGCTTGACAAAGCTCTGGCTGGGATGATTTAGTTGAGGTTGGTCCTGCTTTGGGCAGGAGGTTGGACTTGATGAGCTCCTGAGGTCTCTTCCAGCCCCAGGATTCTATGAATCCTCAGAAAAGTTGTTGCAGCTTGAGGCTATATCAGCTGTTATTTGTATTCCCTATATTTGACACCTTTTCATTGGCTGCTTTCCCTCCCTCCTCTACTTTTGATCCTTTGACATTCAATTTGTTCTTCAGTTGCAGACTAAAGAATGTCAAATTCAGTGCAAGTTACACTATACTACTTAAACATATTTTCTGATCAACTCTCTCCCATTGCTGAATTTCACCCAGTAGGATGACAGCCAGCTCCAGGGGTATGCTATGGCAGCTTTGTAGCACTCCAGCTTGATGGCCAATCTGTGACATTAAAGCAGCACAACGTACAAGAGAATCTGGCCCCATGTTGCTGAAAGTGTGCTTTTCTGTCTTCTAACCTGTAACTCTGAGATTTCAGGCTACCTCTGGCATGCAGATTTTCTTTTCTTACCACTCTCTATAGAAGCCTAAGGGTTCACAACATTTGAAGCAAATGCCTAGCCAATAAATGATACTAGTCTCTCTAACTATCATTCTGCCTTTATAAACTCAAAAACAAAGGATTTGTCACATTGGTAAATCTAGTATCCTACTTTCAATATCCAGTGTAAAGGGGCAAGGATTAGATTTCTTTCCTGCCCCTTGCAGAGATCATCTTGTGCCATGCTGAGCACATGAATGTATTTCATTTCTATAGTGCCACTCGCCTGTAAGGACCATAAGCACTTTATGAACGATGATCTAACATGCCAAATGAAGCCAAACCCTTAATGTGCAGCTATACTTCACTCTCCTCCTCCCCGCCCCTCACCCCCGATCATGCTACCTAGGAGCACAAAGAACAATATTGCTAGCTCAGGGGACACCCACTCGTGAATAGGCAGAGAGCGTGGCTCATCTGTGGGGCCACCCTTGGAACAGAGGTGTGTAGGTGTGTCTGCCAGTTTTGAAGAGAAGTTTTTTAAATGGGGCCAGCATTTTAAAAGCAGCTTTTCAGTTGCTCGAAACATACCGTGGAGGTTGCCCTCAAAACCATTGGCTTGTTTTGTGAGCAGGATTTGAACTGGCACATTAAAAACAAAAAGCTTTGCCTCCCATTATCCAGAGACATCTATTTCCCTATCCTTAAGGGCTTGTCTACACTGCAGCTGGGAGAGAGCTTCCCAGCCCAGGTAGACAGACCAGAATTAACAGGGCACAAGCTATTGTGCTAAAAATAGCAAATGTGAACATGGCTGCTGCGGTGGGGGCTTGGGCTAGCCATCTGATCAGGTGAATCTGAGCTTGGCTGGCTGGCCTGAGCCTCTGCCAGTGCAGCAACACGGGTCTGTGCATCCAGGCTGGGACTTTGGCTCCCATCTGCAGTATAGACATACCCTCAGCATCTAATCTTATGCCCCTTACTTTCCCTTTGCCTCAGTGACACTGTGTGACAGGAAGTGCTTCAGGTTAATGCATACAAGGGATTTGGGGGAAGTATTTCTGCTGATCTATTTTTGATTGACCCCATGTCGCCTTCTTTCTGTGACTTATTTGGGGAGGCCAAAGCAATCTCTTAACTTTCTCCTCTTTTCCTCCTGGTAGACTTGGGGACCAGTTCTACAAAGAAGCCATCGAACACTGCCGCAGCTACAACTCTCGGCTGTGCGCCGAGCGCAGCGTCCGCCTCCCCTTCCTGGATTCACAGACTGGGGTAGCTCAGAACAACTGCTATATCTGGATGGAGAAGAGGCATCGGGGACCAGGTAAGCCGTGTTCTGTGCATGTGTGTAAGGAGGGCAGGCTGCTGACCCCTCAGGGGATTTAATTACTAACAACTCAAACCTTGTAAGGGCCATGCACACAGGAGAAGTTGCCTACACCTGCTGGCCCGGAGGGGATTCCCTTCAGTAACTTGCAAAGAGCGGAACCTAATTATTCTTCCTATTGCTTGACATCGTAGTTTCTAATGCTGAATCATCACAGATCCTTTATTGCTATTGATCTGAGGCAATCACATAGTAGAGGACCTTTACTCAAGAGAACCTTGGAACTGTTCTAAAGGAGGGAAGACTCACTCATAGGAAATATAAATTTAGGAAGACGGATCATGTGAGGATTGCCTGTTGTGTTCCCTCCTTCTGGGGCATCTGGCATTGGCCACTGTCAGCAGACAGGATACTGGGCTGGATGGACCTTTGATCTGACCCAATATGGCCGTTCTTATGTTCTTATGTAAGAGTCCTCGTTTTAAATTCACTTTGCTCTGATGATTAGAATAGAGGATAGGTTGCCAGGCATCTGGTTTTCGACAGGAACACCCAGTCAAAATGGGACCCTGGCAGCCCCAGTCAGGACCTCTCACTGGGACATTCAACATCCAGTTAGCAGGGTTAAGGCAGGTTCTCTGCCTGTCTTGGCTCCACACGGTTCCCAGAAGTGTCCGGCATTTCCCTCTGGCTCCTAGGTAGACAAGTGGCCAGAGTATGCTGCCCCCACCTCCAGCACCGCCTCTGCCGTTCTCATTGGCAGACAGTGGCAGCTACAGGGATAGTGCCTGCAGACACGGGAAGTACGCATTGTGCAGAGCCACCTGACAGTCCCTCTGACTAGAGGCTAGACATGGCGGCAGCTTCTGGGAGCAATGTGGAGCCATGGCAGGCAGGGAGCATGCCCTGGCTCTGCTGCACCGATGACTGTGAGATGCTTGAGGTAAGCACTGCCTGGCTGGATCCACACCCCAACCACCTCTGCCCCCAGTGGAAAACCCCTTCTGCACACTAACTCCCTCCCAGATCTCATACACCTCCCTGCACCCCAATCTCCTGTTGCAGGCCTGAACCCCCCTGCACTCAAACTCCTTCCTGGTGCCCACACCCCCTCCTGTAATGCCAATCCTCTCAGTCCCACCCAACAGCCCCCTCCCACATGCTGAACTCCTTATTTCTGGCCCCACCTCAGCGCCTGCAGCACTAGTTGGAGCTCTCCCTCCTTCTTACACCTGTTTCAGCCCAGTGATAGTGACTGAGCAAGGGGGCAAGTGAGTGACAGAGCAGGGGGACCTGGAGTGTGTGGGGGCAGGGCCTCAGAGAAGGGGTGGGGCAGGCATGGGGTTTTGGGGAAGCAGCGGGTCAAGGGTTTTAGGTTTTGTGCAATTAGAAAGTTGGCAACCCTAGGAGGACACCAGGAGTCAAGAGATCTAGATTCTGTTTCCAGATGACTTGGTCTTCACCTCTGTGTCTCAGTTTTCCATCTTGTTGTTTGGCTTTTTTCAATATTTGGGACAAGAACCCCAAATAAGAGGGGAACACGCAACAATTACAGTGAAGGGTTGATTACCCAAGTGCCTTGGCTGGAAAGGTACACATAAACAACTGGGATTTTGGGTGACCTGACAAAATTTTTAGTTTAATAGACTTGGGGTGATGTAGTTCTGTTTTAGATTATTGATGTTTGGATAATGGAGGTTGCACTGTCTTCTTAACTAATATGTGATTCATTCTAAAGCCAAAATAGCATTTTGTATCATTTGTATTTCATGGATTTCCTTTTTGCATAAATCACTTACAACGAGCAAAAATACCAAGATGGCGGCGGCAGTGGGAGGATGGAAGAGGTAAATGTAAATCTGCTACAAGGATTGTGAATTGTAATAAGGGACAGTATCGATGTGTGCAGTGCTAGCACCATATTCTGCTTACTTACTCTTGTGAGTAATCCCAGTGAAGTCAATGCTCTACTTGTAGAAGTAAAGTGAATGGGCTTTGGTTCTTGAGTTTGTGACTGTGGATGGAGCAGACTGGTTGTGTTCAAATCAATCTGGGTACGAGGCATACCTGTGCCGATCAAGAAAGGCTTCTTTGTCGGCGCGTCACGTCCAGACTGCCCCGATCTGCCGACAAACAGCTGATCGGCAGAACAGGGCAGCCATTTAAATTTAAATGAAGCCGCGATTATTTTAATCGCGGCTTCATTTCCCTCTGCCGATCTGGCTAATCTACATGCCTCCGTCGACGGAGGCATGTAGTCTAGACACACCCTCTCTGTAGTTGCAAAAAAGATAGTGGAAAGAAGCAGGCTACCTTCCCTCATTTTAGCACTACTTTTTTGCACATGTTTCAGCAAATCCTATCTAGGTGCTTAAATGGCTGTAGAATCAGAATGACTCAAATGTTCAAGAAGGGAAATAACAATCTCTCACTCTTTTTCCTCCCTTTTTAGTCTCTGAGAGAAATGTCTGGATTCATTTCTAGCTCTTGGATTCTATGTATGCTCATGTGCATTTTGTATGTGTGCAGGCTGAAAGAAAGCTAGGTCAAAGAAATGAATTTTTGTGTCTAGCTCTATTTGTGAGGAGGTCCGTGGTCATTCTTATTTCTTGTGGTAGCCAGTTCAATGGTCTTTGGATGATGCAATCTGTTCTTCTTTCTGTTATTGGCCAGCTGTGGCAGATGGGGTCATAGCCTGCCCAGGGGCTTACTGAATAAACAGTCCCTACATTCTGCCAAGTTCAGGAACTGGAATTTTCCCTGGCCATTTCACAGAGCACAGAATGGGAGAAGGTATCTTGCATGGTTCCCCATCTGTACACCAGGACAAAGGACTTGTGTACACATAAATATTAATCCAGAATAGGGTAGAATGAAAATTTAAAGCAGATTAAGTATTCCCACTTAATTCCATGTGTGGATGCTCTTATTTTGGAATAGGATTACTTTATTTCAAATTCACTTAATCCATTTGAGTAGAGTATTAAACTAATATGGAATAAAACAAGTGGTACCTTAGACTAGAGACTAACAAAAATATATATAGTATCATGAGCTTTTGTGGGCAAAACCCACTTCTTCAGATGAGCTCAAACTACTTCTACCCTCCACGAGCTGAGTTTGTATTGTCTACAACAACACATTTTTTACACTGCCTCTTGCAGCAGCAACACTTTTGACTTTTGGGGTGGGGAGTAGGATTGGGTTGTGGAAGATATTTTATTAGTGAACAACAACAGTACTTTATTGTTTAGGACAGGGATGGGGAATGTTTTTTGGGTTGAGGGCCGCTGATCCACAGGAAAATCAGTCAGGGACACATACAAGTAAAAAAAACCCCCAAACCAAAACAACAACAACAACAAAAAACAAACACAAAAACAAAACAACCCCTCCAAACAAACAATAAAACTGACATGGCCCCCGAGCAAGAAGGAAAAAGATACTCCTCACATTCCCCTCACACACCACAGCCTAGGGAGGTCCAGGCTGATAGATTTTGTGTGCTCCAGCCCCACAGCAGGGTGGTGAGGGGCTGGAGTGCCAGTGTGGGCTTCCCAGTGTTGGGGGGAGCCTTGAGCCCTGGGGGCTGGATCCAGGCAAATTGAGGGCCACATCCGGCACCTGGACGAGCCCTGGGGGCTGGATCCAGGCAAGTTGAGGGCCACATCCGGCACCTGGGCCTTAGGTTCACCACCTCTGGTTTAGGATAAGCACTGAAGGACGGTAATACCTTATCCTCTCAAAACTACAGGGAGAGTTTGGGTAGGCAGAACATAGTTATCTGAGTGGTCTGCGACTCTGGGGAACTTTCTTCACAAAATGTCTCATGTGGTCTATAGTGACCACTGAAGGTTTTGTTTCACCTGAAAGCTCCTGTTCCAGAGAGATGACACTTTTGACAAAACAAGCTAATTTTTGCTTTTTGTTTAAAAACACGTATTTACCCCAAAAACTTCTGTTCCTGCAGCATCCTGCAGGTTCTTTTGAAGTCATTCATACATAAGCAGCTATGCATTTATTATATGTAGAAGCCAGATGCTGGAGGGAGCACATGCTACAAGCATGATACAAAGTATCCTGGAAGCAGACACACTGATATCTTGATATTTGTGGCAGGAACCACTGTTGAGTGTTTAAAGCATAGGATTGGTTGCCAGGAGAGCTGGGTTCTTTGACCCAGCTTTGTCACTAACTCCATGCTACCTTGGACAAATCTGTTGACCTATGCCTGAACCACATAAGATACCTAACATCACCGTGCCTCAGTGTCCCTGTCTATGAAACGGGGCCAGTAGCATTTCTCTTTCTCCCAGGGCTGTGGTGAGGACTGGTTAGTGGCAAGAGAGGTTTTTTTTTTAGAATTTAAATAGGCTGAAGCTTCCTGTATGTCCATCAGCTGCCAAATCCATAGCCTTTTTTAATTTAAATTATAATGATTTAGAAAGAAACCAAGAGTCCCTCCTCCCTCATATTTGCTCTGCTGTTCCTTGATGTGATTAGCTTGTTCAGTGCTCCCTTGGGTTTCTCTGTACCATCCATCTCTTGTAGCCCCATTGTGACGGGCACAGCATCTCTCTGGTGTGAGCATCGCCATTTCCAGGCAACACACACTGTGCTCTTGGCAGTATTGAACCAATGAGAATGCTCCACCAGTCACTCTAACATCTGGATTGTGAGCACCCCTTTGCTTTGTTTACTGGCCTTCGCTTCCCACATCTCTCACCTGAAGCACTGTTTTCAGGCAAACAGAAAAGATCCAGAACCATCTTGCCCTTGCGTGGGGTTTAAAAAGGGAAGAGGAGAGTCAGAAGCCCCATGCATAAACTTGGTTTCTCACAGCTCCATTGTAAATAATCAGAAGGCTGCCTGTTGTGACAAACAGTTCAGGGTTAATTTCACACAATACTGCACATAACTCCCTCCCTCTTTTTCCTTCCTCCCCCAGTCTTTCACACAAGCTTTGAGTTATGGCTCTCCTACACTAATGAGATAAACAACATAACTCACTGCAGGTCCTGCTATTTCCTCTATAAGCAAATGGTTGAAACTTTCTGTGGCTGCCCTATAAGGCACAAGAGTGCAAGACAATCCAACCCAGCAAGTAGTGGAGAGGGTGAGAATTGTACATGTTTTGCATGGGCACAGAAGGAAGCTGGTAGGTTCAAAGCAGATGTAAAAGGCCCACCTCCACAAAAATGAGAGGTTCACACTTTACTTGTGCCATCATGTTGATAGATTGGTGGTTGGGGGACAAACAATGGTGTAAATCTTCTCTCTGGAAAATGGTATCAAACCTGTTTGGATCAAGATAAAGTTTATTTAGCAGCTGGCAGAACACTTCTGAGGAGGGAATTATTAAAAAGCGGAGGATACCTCTTCTCAGAAGGCTCACAGGGTCTATTTGGAGGCCTTCTAGAGCTTATCTGAGTCCATCTGGGGTCAGATTAGGCAGGAGGCCCTTCCTGCAATATTTCTGGGCCTTCTGGCTTCCAGCAGAGCTTTTAATACTTTGGTGTTTGTGCTTTGCCATCTTTGCTGGAGCCTGGAAGTGCCAATTTGTGAGAGACTGAGAAACAATTGAACCAAAGCTTTTCAAATCTTTTTTTTTAAAGGTTACATTTTGGGCTAAAGCCCAAGTACAGGATTTTACCCAAATTCCCCCTTTCCAAGAATGCAGCTCAAGGAGCCTGATTCTCTTCTCACACCATTTTTTTCACCAGACTAAGGCTACGTCTAGCGTACAGACTTCCCATTTTTTTCACCAGACTAAGGCTACGTCTAGAGGGCAGACTTCCCGAAAAACTTCTTCCGAAAGAGAGCGTCCACACTGCCAAAGTGCATCGAAAAAGTGATCTGCTTTTTTGAAAGATAGAGTCCACAATGAATGGCCGCTATCTTGCATTTAAGCTGTGATTACTATGGACGAAGTGGCCACCAGGGCACCTGTGCTTCCTCCTCTTTTCTCTATTCTGAAAGAACTCCCTCTTCCCTGTCCACATGCCTTTTTCCAAAAGAGCTCTTTCGGAAAGAGTCTTCTTCCTTGTAGAAAGGGGATTACCAATGCCGGTAAAACCCTCTGTTCTTTCCATTTTTTTTTGAAAGAATATGATTGCAGTGTGGATGTAATTGAAGTTTTTTCGGAAAAATTGCTGTTTTGCCAAAAAATCTCTGTAGTGTAGACTTACCCTAAAGCTGTGAATGAGGGCACATTTGTGGGAGGCTTAGACTCTTTGTATGTGTAATCCAGAGGCACTGAGACCACTGACAAGGGAAAGTAAAGTCTGCTCTGTAGTCTTAGCTGAGAGCCAGTTGGCTTTTAGCTCATGCAGTAAAGGCACATAGCTTTAGCCCCTAAAGTCGCAAATTTAATCCCACCTGCTGACAATCTGGCTTTATATATGTTCCCCCACAATGACCCACATTGCACCTAGTCACAACCTGTACCTTAATAATAGCATTTTTTGCATACTAGTTAAGGTTTGTAAAGCACCTTGATGTCAAGCACTCTAGACAAGCTAGGTAATTCATAGTGTTTTTCCTTCCAAGTCATTAATAGACTTTATACCCCCATGGAAATGCAGTATTCTCTGAGGGTATGTCTACACTACAGTGATAATTAGAACTAACTTAGTTCGAATTAGTTAATTTGAACTAAGATAATTTGAACTAACGCATCTAGAACTAAAAACTAGTTCGAATTAGTGTTTTGCTAATTCGAACTAGCATGTCCACACAGAGTGGACCCTGAACCGGGGTTAAGGATGGCCGGAAGCAGTGCCGGCAGGGCATCAGATGGGGACTTAGAGCGTGGAGCTGCTGTCTCAGGCTAGCCGAGGGCTGTGCTTAAAGGGACCCGACCTCCACCCCGGACAGATAGTTCTCAGGATTCCCCGCTTGCAAAGCAGTCCTGGCTTGGAGTGCCCTGAGTGCCCACACTGGGCACATCACAGCACTCGGCCATCAGACTGGCTGCACTTGCCGCAGGCTGCCATCTGGGGAGAAGGGGCAATTGGGGGGCTGCAGGAGAGGTTCCACCCCCAGAAGCCCGCAGAGCCAGCCCAGTCCTCCCCATCGGGGGCTCGTACCCCATTCCTTCCTCACCTCCTTCCACTTACCCTTCCTTAGTCCCCCTTCCTGATGTACAAAATAAAGAAAAAGTGTGGTCAAAAATAGAATCTCTCTTTATTGAACAAAACTCGGGAGACTGGGAAAAGGAGGTGGGAGAGGGGAAGAGAGAGGGTGGGAGAGGGGAGGGCAACTACAATGATCAGAGGTTTGGAAGAGGTCCCATATGAAGAGAGGCTAAAGAGACTGGGACTTTTCAGTTTAGAAAAGAGGAGACTGAGGGGGGATAGGATAGAGGTCTATAAAAGCATGAGTGGGGTAGAGAGGGTGCATCAAGAAAAGTTCTTCATTAGTTCCCATAATAGAAGGACTAGAGGACACCAAAGGAAAGGAATGGGTAGCAGGCTTCAAACTAGTAACAGAAAGTTGTTCTTCACAAAGCAAAGAGTCAACCTGTGGAACTCCTTGCTGCAGGAGGCTGTGAAGGCTAGAACTAGAACAGAGTTTAAAGAGAAGTGAGATCAAGTGATGGAAGTTGGGTCCATGGAGTGGTATTAGCCAGAGGGTAGGAGTGGTGTCCCTGCCCAAAGTTTGTGGAAGGCTGGAGAGGGATGGCACGAGACAAATGGCTTGGTCACTGTCGTCGGTCCATCCCCTCCAGGGTGTCTAGGGTTGGCCGCTGTCGGCAGACAGGCTACTGGGCTAGATGGACCTTTGGTCTGACCCAGGACAGCCATTGTAAGCTCAGGGCTCAGGGTCGGGGGTCTCAGTGGACTCCTTGATTTTCATGCACACCTGCTCCTGGGTGGCCAGGCTGGCAGCTCTCCTGCCCTAGACGGTCACTTTCCTGTGCCTAGTGCAGAGGTCGTGGACGAGGTCCACGATGTCCACACTAGACCAGGCGGGTGCCCGCCTCTTGCGGTCCTGGGCAAGCTCCCGGGAGCCGCCAGCCTGGTCCCGGGAAGAGGGGGAGGGCTGGGGGGCATCGTGTGGCTGGCTCGAGCCGTGCCAGGTGCAGGGTCTGCTGGCTGGGTGCTGGCAGGCTTGCACCTGGCACGGGCACCATAGCCAGCCCGTGCCCCTTTAAGGGGTCCGGGGCCGGGAGGGGGGCATACGAGTTTCCCTGGTGTTGGCCAGAGTGGCCACCAGGGAAACCTGGGGAGGGCTAGCCTCCCACTAGTTCGAATTAAGGGGCTACACACCCCTTAATTCAAACTAGTAAGTTCGAACTAGGCTTAGTCCTCGTAGAATGAGGTTTACCTAGTTCGAACTAAGCGCTCCGCTAATTCGAATTAAGTTCGAACTAGCGGAGCGCTAGTGTAGCACCTATCAAAGTTAATTCGAACTAACGTCCGTTAGTTCAAATTAACTTTGTAGTGTAGACATACCCTGAGGTAGGATATAACAACTATCACATCTCATAATAGAGAAGGGAAGTGAAATCATTGTTAAGGCCACCAAAACCTACTCCCAGACTCAGGCCTATTGATGAGGCAGAGGCAAAGGGGACAATTACTTGGGGGCCTTGTGATTCAAAGAGACCCGGGGCTCCTGGCTGCCACTGTTACTACTGTGGTCGTGCTGGTGGCTGGTGCTCCAGGCCTTTAATATCTCCATGGGAGCACTGCACCACATGTTCTGCACAACTCTGAGGGCTTGAGAGAGGGCCAGTGCTGCACTCTGGGCAGAATTGAGGGACAGCTGCCCACGGCCCTGCCTCTTCTGGGAGTGCGGAGCCAGGCTCCCAGCCTCCCCCTGCCATCTGGCCCAAGGGCCTGCGGAGGCTGTCAACTCCCCTTCCCGTGCTTACCATCCATGCAGGGGAGACAAGAACTTTATTTTGGGGAGCTCCTCCAAAAGCCCATGGCATCCCGCAGTAAATTTCTTGTTGCTCAGTTTATCTGTCTCAAGAGCGGGTTGACCTTGCTGGGATGAGAACCTTATTCCCAGGGAGTTTCCATATTCCAAACTGAAGACTTAGGCTGCACTTGCCAAGTGTGAGTTACCTATTCTCTTGGAGTGATGGCCCAGTTTTTACAAGTAGGGTATCAGGTTGTTTTTTTTCCCCTTCATCATCATCTGGCTCAGAGAATACATTTTGTTCCTAGGTTGGAGAATGTGCCTTGCTGTTATGCAAGGCTGGCTTACACCACTCAGCTGCCATCATATGCTAGGGTGGTTCTGCAGTATTGACATGGACTTGATTTTGTCAGGTTGTTCAAAAAAGATGATTTTTGTTCAAGGTGCTCAAGCCATTCCCATCCTATCTGTCACATTTTTTTAGTGGTGCTCGGGTTACAGTGAACCTCTGCACAGAGAGACATATGTTAGTAAGACATGTGGCTTCTTTATAGGGTTGATCCTGCAGGATGCTGAGCTGCAGCTAGGATGCTGAATGCCCTCAGTTTCTGGAGTTGCTTCGTATCTTGTGGGATTGAACCCTATAGTATGGCAATGCTGGGAATGGAGATACAGAGATGCTGGAGAAATTAACGGAAAGTTGCAAATGCAAATGCCACTGTTTATTTTTTGCTTTTAACCCACAGGATTAGCCCCAGGCCAGCTGTACACATATCCTGCTCGCTGCTGGCGCAAGAAGAGACGCTTACATCCTCCTGAGGACTCCAGGCTGAAGCTCCTGGAAATTAAACCTGGTATATGTTCTGTGTTTCTTTCTCACTTGCTTTCTATTCTTTCTATTGCATTCGCTGATGTGTCCTGGATCAGGTGAAGACTGGCCGACACCCAGTACTGGCATTATTCTCTGGACCCAGTGTTTGGCCGTCTCCTGCTTTTTCTTTCTGAGATTTGCTCAAACCCATGGCATCATTCTTCTTTTTTTAGATAATAAAATAAATGTAAGTCTCTAGGCCAAATCCACCCTTGGCATAAGTGGTTGTAACCAGTGACATAGCCAGAAAGGTTCCTACTTTGGGTGGGTGGGCAATGGTGGGGACAGTAAGCTCCCGCACCCCAGGTCTGTTCCCCAGCCAGAGTGCCAGGCACAGTGGAGCCAGGTCCAGCACCCCAGCCCCACACCCCAGCCAGAGTGCCAGGCACAGTAGTCAGCCCCAGCACCCTGCCTCACTCAGAGCGCCATATATTTATGAGAAAGAGGGAACACTCTGGGAGCAGTAGGTAGTTTTTGAGAGGAGAGATACAGCCTGTATAAAACACACACATGCAACCAAAAATATAAATTAACAAAATATTTTAAGAAATGTTTGAAAGCAGAAGGTGTCTGGGAATGGAGCGGTGGGCAACAATACCAGGGAATTGGTTTTAGTGCAGTCCTTTGTGTAGTAGGAGGTAGAAAAGATGCAGAGGCAAGTCTTGGCTACAGGAAAGTCAGGCGCAAAATTCTTGTTGATGTTGGTGTGACCAGGTTTTGGCTCATTATCCCCATGACAGCAGAAGTTACAAAATGAGGAGGGTAAATGGAAGGAAATACTGTAACTGCCAAATAAGGATTTCAAACCATGGACAAAATCAAGACCAGGGGACTTTCCTAATCTCACACCCATGTAAAGGAGAAGTTAGTCTATTGTAATAAAATAATAATGATGATACAATAGATTTTTGCACTGTATAACACTTTCCATCAGTAGATATCAAAGGACATGACCAAGTAGACTATTGCATTTGGTAATCCAAAAGGTTAATGATTAAAATAAATACATTCCACACAAGCCCCCTTAGTGTGAAAGGCAACTGCATTAAAGTATTTTCTATGTTGTTTTTAGTTCCATGCTAATGTGAACATTTCACAAAAATCTTGCTGATAATTAACAATGCTCTCAGTGTCCAGCACTGTTCCTCTGGAATTTTATTTGTGAAATATTCTCATTTTTAACAGTAATTATTGTATTTACATCTTGTGACCTAACTCATAAATAGTTGTTGCTAGAGCAACCTTTGGACAACCACCTTTGTCTGACCATTGTAGTTGCATAGATAGTTGTAGTAAAATCATGTGATCAACATACAGCCTAGCAATTTCTATGTTAGTACTAATTGCGAAAACCCAGCCAGTCTGTCGCATAGACCATGCAGCAGAAATAAAGTACTGCATAAGTTCATTTACAATAACTACTTAAAATGACAATATAGCCACCTTTATTGCTTTGTATTACCAGGCAATTTTGAATTACACTAAATATTTGTGACATTTAATTTAATATGTGCTGGACTCCATCTTTCAATGGTAATTTCATATCTTAAGAAATAAGCGTTCTGACTCATGGGAATAAATCATGGTGCGCCTGTGTGAATACACATGGATATTTAGAGCCAATGTGTACTGCCCTTCATCCAAGCACCTCAAATTTCCTTACTGACACTATACCTAATCCTGAAGTGTGCAGAGCTCTTCTTGGAAGGTGAGGCATGTCCTCATCTTGTATGGAAATTGCTTGTCTTAGCCTGAAGATTGGGTGCATTAAATGAACAGTGCCATGTTAAAAATCATATATTTTTAAAAGATAATTTTATTATTTACATTCTGGTAATGACTATGGACACACCCAAGAGTCAGGGCCAGTGTTCCTACCAATTTTTCCCACATTAATTTTGTTACGTGCACCAGTATGGAGGTGGTGTGTGACACGGAGGGATGTGCGATACATCACTTCCATATCGGTGCACATGCACATAACAAAATTAATGTGGCAGGGGTGGGCCAAGGGGTTCGTAGTGTGGGTGGAGGCTCAGGCCTGGGGCAGAGGGTTAGGGTGCAAGGTTGTGAGGGCTCTAGCTGGAGGTGCGGGGTCTGAAGTAGGGCCATGGATGAAGCAGGACAGATATTTGGGATATTTGGCCAATTAAAATATGTTAGTTAGTTTTTCATTATTGGTTCTAGTCAGTTGCACTATTGTATGAGAACAAAAAAGTATAAAACTGCAATGTTTCACTTACATATGTTGAAGGGAAAAGTTTACTTATAAAGTATTTTCACAAATATTTAAAAAGAATGGAAACTTTTTAATATATTGCATAATTGCCATTTAGTTTCTGCTATATTTTAAATCCTAAAATCTTAAAAAAAAAAGTCAAAATAAAAATTGGCAGGCCAATTCTGTGGCTAAATTAGAAGATTTCTTTAAAATTTAAAGTGAATTGAACAAGGTGCACTGGAATTTTGATATCTAAAAGTTGTTGTTCACCAGAGTTCAAACATCAGTTATGTGCCTGCAGACTTATTTTCACCACAGTGAAGTTTTTGGTGTAGGAATTGATCTCAGCTTTTGTAAACATTATTGCAAAGGAAGACAGTAATAACTTTTGATTTCTACTGACATGGATGGAAATTGACTTAAAGGTGAGGAATTACATAGTCCATTACCAATCCACATTATATCGGCAGTATTGCCCCAAATCTTAAACTTAAAATATGTGTTTAAATCAGCTTTTTCATTCAAACACATGCATCTTTTAAACAAGGGAGAGTTTTATTTGTAATGTACTCTCCAATGCTTAAAAATAACATTTTTTCTTACTGAATTCTTTTTTCCTTTTCCATGTGACAGTCACTGATTCCACCTTAAGATTGTTGGAGAATTTGAAACAAACCCTGCTTATTTCTACTTGCTTCCCTGAATGTGCGTCTGCCTGCACAGATAACTGCTGCTGCAGAGCCAGCAGAGGGAGCAACTAATAGCATATGATTAGTGTGTGCAGGGCCAGATTCTGCTTTCACGTACGAGAGTAACTCTGTTGAAGATAAATGGGCATAAAACTGGGGTCCATTATGTATATTTTATTTCTTTTTATAGATTTATCTGTGACAAGAAAGGCCTGTTGTTTATTTAAAAAAATGTATGTATTTGTTTAGGGCAATCTCAATGATAGTATGACAATTTTATGGTGCAGTTAAGTCACATGTTAGGTGTGGACAATTCACAGATACATAGAAGAGACCATTATGATTATATGGTCTGAACTCCTGCATAACACAGGTCACTGAATTTCACCTTGTAATTTCTGCATCAAACCTAAATTTTCTGGATGACCTAGAGAATATTTCAAACTTATCCCTTGATTTCCACTCAATGTGGTTGGGAGGATAAGAGTGAAACATTAAATATTTTGAGGAATAGACTTTAGTTTTCTTAAAAAAAATTTAGTGTACAGTACTGAATGCCAAAATAGAAGACCATCAAACATAATGCACATTTGGATATGGTATATGTCGTGGTTGTACAGCATGTACACAGATATAATATTTTCTAAATGACTTTTGAATGAAATGCAGCCACATAGTCTGAGCTCAAGATTGGGAACAGGAACTGCTGTTTTTTTAAATTAGTGCTAGTCAGAAAATTTCAATCTGTTTGAAATTTGGAACAAAAACCAGAGCATTTATGATTTTTGTAGACTTTCTAACTGTTCATTCCTATTTTTTTCCAATCAGTTCTCCGTCTGTTTGGAAACTTAGATGAAAAATGGGTGGGAGGAAATACATTGAAAATTTCCCCCATTTTTTACCAGCCCTAGCTTTTATCTAGACTAAAGTAAATATTGATTCCTCTTGTGCCCTTGAACAAGTCCAAGCAGCTCTGTTTAAGCAAAGCACATAAGTATGTAGGTGACTAGTGAGTACAAAAGCACCGCACAGTTGGAACTGTAAGCTCCGATTCTCCACTTTTTCTGTCTCTAGTTTGTACTTAGCAGACAGTAGCGGACACTATTTGTTACACTCTGATCTTCATCCAACCATCGCTAGCAGAAGTTAGCCTCAGGGGCCTCCTCTAACTTTTGCCATTGATGTTAATTATGCTCATGGAGATCTCCTGCCCTTCAACACACCTTCCTCACCTTCTTATACAGATCCTGTGCACAATCTACAGTATCTCCACCACCTTTAGATCAGCAGAGATTCCCCTCTGGAGGATGGGGGGGAATTCTCCTGTCAAAATCTCTAGCTAGTTTGTTCACTTTTACTCTTCTTACATGCTACAAAGTGAACGTGATGGACCAGAGAATCCGGCCCTCAGTACTTCATATCTTTGTGTGTTGTACAGAAATAAATGACTGTACAAGGTGTAATGCAGTGGCGAATGAAGTCCAAATCGTGCCACCTCCCTTTCTCAATTGGTAAAATGGAGTTTATTTTATCTATGTTCGGGAAGTGTTTCAAGGATTATTTAATGAATATTTGTGAAGCGCTTGGAAGGCTTCAAACGACAAGGACTATATAAACTAAAAGTATGTTGTAGGTCATGGGTTTTTAAACCATATTTTGGTCACTAACACACAGTCTTGCAAAAGAGCATGAAAATTTACCAGCCAAGAAGCAAAATCTGCTTATCTACTCTTACTAGGATGATGATACAGAACAACCATTTAAACTCATTCATCATCATAAAAAAATCACCGCAGGTGAATGAAGGAGTAGAATTTTGCAAGCCTGCATGAGCAGGGTAAATGTTGTAAAACTGCTTCTGATTTTGCCCAGTGTAACTTTTTTTTGCTTTGCTCTGGTAGCTGATGAGCTGGCCATCTGTATACTGTTCATTGTGTGGCAACCAAGTCTGCCTAGGCTGTGATAAGTCCCCCCACCCCACCAAGAGAATTAAAGCACATACACTGCTTGCTGGAAGCAGTTATCTTGTGATAAGCGGTAACTTCTTAGCCTTTTAATTTAATTCTGAAGGTT